CTATATATATATATATGTACACTATCTTTTACCTTTAAAATAAGTTTTTTTTTATTTCTATACGATTTTTTATAATCAAGTGGATTTAAAACTATCACTGTCCGATGTTCACTAGGAATAACGTATTAATTTTATAGTTTTCCATATTTGTTCCCAGAATATCCTCGAGACATACAGGCACCTACCAAATGTAATTCTGTTGGAGGAAATTCAATATAAATTGTTTAGCCATTTGGATTTTTTATGGGCCATTGATGTTAAAACCCTACTATACGATCGTTTAATAGAACTACTTCAGGAGTTTGATAATCAGGTGTGGACAATCGATGATGAATTAATCTATGTCTAATACTTTCTTGTTAAATCATTTTATTTATTTACTTTCAGATTATATAAGATACCCATTTTGAAAGAAAAATTAATATTAAATTATTGGCCAGAAGAATGCAAATTATTATTTATATAATAGAAAAGTATTATTCCTTATTAACGCAATAATACTTTTACGTAAGCTGTTCGTACCGAAAAAGTTTCTTTCTATAACTAGTAATATATCATTTAAGAAATGTATTTAATTAAAAAATTATATTAAACAAATCATATCATATTTTTTAATTCTTTGTATAAAATTCTGCAGATTTTACACGAAAAAAACAGTATGGTTGGTCTGCACAGAAATCTGATGATACCAACCAAATTAAATAGTAAAATATAGAGCAACTATTTATGTGATTGGGTAGTATTTCTATTTATGTATCTAGATATATAGAGATACATTTTGTGTATCTAACCTGTATCTGAGGTACATTAAAATTCGAGTATTTGTAATTGTATCTAGATACAAAAGACACAGCATCTGAATTGATTTTCAGATGCATTTTTCAGATACATTTCCACAGCAATGTAGTCATAATTCCATTTTATATGTAAGTGTTAGTTGATTCCATTTCACAGGAAAAAAAAAAGCAGCTTTGTTGTTGCAAAATTCTATGACATGATTGGTCTTTGTTTTAGTTCTTCACTGGATCTAAATGCAAATCAGTCATATTAAAGAATTTTACAATTACACAGCTTTTTTTGCTGAACGCATCTAGTAATCTTAGATTGTGGAATTTATAACGCATGTATAGTTAAGCTAGAAACACAATGTTAGTAGCATTTTTAATTTGTAAAACTATAATGAATAACGATGAATATTATCGTCTTATAATTCTTATCCTAAATCGTTTTACGATAATTATAAGTTTTTTCAATTATTTAAATATAAAAATAAATAAATAAATGATTCACATTTAATGTCTAATACATTTTTTTATACATTACCATTACAATAAAATGAATTTAAGAGTATCTGAAATATATCTGATATCTGTACCTAATACATATTTTAATATGTGTATCTATATCTGTATTTAGATGAATTTTCATACATGTAATTGTATCTGTATCTAGATAAATTTTAAGAGTATCTTACCCATCACTAATGGTTGCTTGAACCCAGGGACGGATCCAGACATTTGTCAAGGGGGGGAGACCATTGACGCGCCGCAAGCAAAATTTTTTCAAGGTTAAATATAAAATATGAGATATTTAAGTTACTATTGGCATATTACATTGAAAAGTACTATATAATTATATAATCCAGGAAACGTTTTATTTAAAATTATAAACATAAAAAGAATAATATAATTTATAATATATATAATGGTGACACCAATACCGAACTTTGTTCACTCAGCGCGAACGAGTGGAAAATAAAAGCTGTAGCACAGACTTTAATCTTAATTTACTTACTTTTTGAAATATATAAAGGAATCTATATTTTTGTACTTAGAAGATTCTTAAAATAAAAAATATTTTTAGAATATCAAAATTGTGATTGAGTGTTTCAGAAATATTAAAAGTATGTATAAGCTTTTGCTATAAATATTTTTAAAAAGGGAAACTCCCAAGGGGGGGGGTCATGGCCCCCCCCTTGAATCTGCCCTTGCTTGAACCATAATACAACGGTTAGGTTAAGTTATGTTGCAGCAATGACGGCATTTCACATATATATATTTTTAATTGTAAACGTGGTGAGTCGCTTTTGCTTTTTGAAATTGCAACTTAATTTATAGCATGATATGCTTATATATGATAATTATATTTATTGTATGATAATTTATAGATGTAACAAGAAATTAATTCTTCTTAATAATTTATAATAATTCTTATTACATCATGCTTTATAATGTCACGATTAACACAACCGACGCAACTATACGGATATAACTTATCCAAGGTTGGCAAGTAACGCGTTACTTGTAACGCCGTTATTTTGTTGATCGTTACCTTGTTATAATAACGATTTGATAATGACATAATTGTGAATTTTTTATAATGGTAATGCTAACATCAGAGTTAGAAAAGTCAATCGTTACTTGTAATAGATTAATCCATTATTGAAAAAAATCATTCGTTACTGAAAAAAATAACTCCTAATTTGTAACGCGTTACTTTTTAATAACGAGTAACGTTACGCATAACGTTACGCGTAATTCATTATACTTATAACTTTTTCAGTATAACGCGTAATAGTGACAAGTTACTTTTCAAAGTGACTTTTCTAACATTAGTACAACCTTAGCGTTTAGTTAGTCAGCGTTACGATAGTTAATGCGTTTTTTAAGCCTTCAGGCAGTACTATTGTAAGTCTATCCTCAATTGTTTCATAAATCATGCATGGTACATAAAAAATTTAAGTGCAGTATCAGCCATATCGCTGCAGTCGAAATTATCGAGTATACATATACATATACAGGGTGTCCCAGAGTTTTAAATAATGCATTAAGATTTCGAAAACTATGGTAGATACGGAAAAATGTTTCAAACAAAAGTTATATAGTTTGGAAGGGGACATAAAAAGGTATCATTTATTTGACCTTGGGTGGCATTGCCAAGGCCAGATCGAGGTCATGTCGATTTTTTTTAATGGAACCCCCTATTTTTCATTGCATTTCCTTGTAGCTTACCTTGAGAGCTTTTCAAAACACTATAATGAAATATTTTTTCATTAAGTATTTTTCGAGTGATAAGGCTCGAAAGTTATAGTACAGCCGCACCCAAAAAAAAATATTCTGCCATTTAGCAGTTCCGTGTTTATGTCAAAGGATTTTCCATTTATATATGACCTCAAGAGGATACTCTACAAAATAAAAGAATTTCGTATAACCCTAAAGTACTGGATTTAGGATTGCGATCCTCTCAATATTAAAAGAATGTCTTACATGTACTGACATGCACGCGTACTACTGTAGCACGTAAATGACAAACCTCTTCTAACAAGTAAGCGTGCCGCTAGTATTTTGTGTATCCTTTTATTTCAAAAGGCTATAATAATTTGAATAGCGCCTTTTGAAATAAAAGGATACACAAAATACCGGCTGTACTGTAACTTTCGAACAACATTTAAGAAGTTTTAGCCGTCGGGTTTCCTATCTTTTTGGGGATTTCTAAAAATCCTTTTATTGGAGGTCACACACACACACACAACACACACACATTATATTATCAAAATGATGTGTCAAAATGACATCATTAACCAGTCAAATTTTTCGACCAAAAGACGTCAAGCGTAACATGTTCAACGTGACCAAAAGTTTACGTCAATTGATGTCATTTGATGTCATTGTGACAATTATGTGTTACTTGGGCATTGAACTTTGAACACGAGCTGCAGCTATCAATTTAGATTTTTTTAAATGCAAAGATACATGTTATAAAACTTAATGAATAATACATTAATATCAAGATTAGTGATTATGTCACTTAATGATTATGATAAAAAAATGTATACGTGGAGCAAACAAGTTCATAGTACAATTAGTTGCCCGATTGAACACAGCGATCGATTGATTATGGAGAAAGAGAGAGAGAGAGAGAGAGAGAGAGAGCGAGAAGAAAGAATCTAAGCGAAACTACAATGAACCAAAACTATACATAAATACAATAAAATATTCATTGAATTAATAAAAATTGGTCCAATGAATTCTCATAATGATTTAGGTTATAAAACTGTTACTAGAATTCATTGCAAGAATGAATATATAGTTATATAAATGAATCCAGCTATTGTATCAATCAATTAATTGGATATTAAGTCGGATATTGATTAACGGTCATTTATTGGATCAAAAATGACCAAAATTTTTTTCAGAAAATTTTTTTCAAGAGTGTCTTGAACAAAAAAGCAGTTTTTTTTGTTGTAAAATCATTAATATAATTGATTCTTGCTTTTATTGCTGTTAGTTCCTGACTGGATTTAAATGTTTTAACCAGGGCTCGGTCTTATTTCAAATAAATTTATTTAAAATATATATTTTAAATAAAGAAAAAATTAAAAAGTTTTTTAGTATTTATTATTTTATATAATTTCTTCTGTCCTATTTCTTACTTAATATTTTAAATAAGTTTCTGGGGAACTTATTTTATATCTTTTATCTTAAATATAAGTCGTATCAATTATTTTACCGAGTCCTGGTTTTAACCAATCAAATTAAAGAATCTTGCAACACGATTACGAAGCTTGTTTTTTCTTGCTGAACGCAATTGTACGGAAAATCATTCACAAACGGATATTTTACCAGTGTATTACTACATTGCGCTCTCCATAAAATTTATTATATAACAAATATCTGTATAAATATAAACAAATGACAAACGGGCAATTGGTACAGTGAACGGTGTGTAATTCAGCTTTAAAAAGATTTTATCTTACATAACCAAATAGAAAATAGATTTCATACGCATGCAAATTTATTACAAGTGAAGTTTAAAAGGTCATAAAGTATATAAATTACACAATCTCGTAGCTTTGATCATAATTATCTAATCTTTACCAGTTACACGATATTAAGTCATTTATCACATATATTACATACATATATCACATGATATTGTTGAGAGTTACAAGTTAATAGTGATTTTACCATTTGGATGTGATGATCGTAACAAGAATTAATATGAAACTTGTTTCATTCATATTTCTGCTTACTATAATATTGTTGGAAGTAAAACTATGTCTCTGGGAAGACCTAGCATTCTTTCAGAAAGTAATATTAAACTATCTGTTTCCTAAGGATCTCAATATAGTGAGAGTAAGGAAGTTAGAAGAAGTCAAAACAGTGTTTCAGAACAATATAATGATATTGGATTTTGTAAGTAAAATTGTTTTCTATCAATATTTTCTTTAATTAAAGGCACACAGCAAAATAATAGCGTGAAGAGTTAGAAAATTAATCTCAACCAAAACAACAAGTCACGCTAATATGAAAATAACATTGAAATAAATTGTGACTAAAAGTGAATTTCAATAATCATTTTGTCATTATTATGGCTTTTTGTTCTGCTTTAGTAATTACTTAGACGAAAAAGACCTTGTTTATTATAAAAAAAACATTCTTCTATATATTATACATATAATAACTCGTAGCAATATAGTTATCAAACTGCTTTTGTTCAAACAACAAAAATATTGAATAAAATAACATTGTTTATAAAACAAGATACGTTTCAACTGTTCAGATAACCAAACAAATTTTAACATATCGAACTGTAAATTAATGCACTGCATGCATTGTTATGACTTTGCCGTGAATTTGCTGACATTGAAATATATTTAATGTGGAACGGAGTTAACAATAGAAGGGCAAATACACATCCTCAGTTAATGAAATTTTAAGATCAAACGTTGAAGAATGGAGGGCAACATGTTTGCCCTCCTCTTGCTAATTAAGCTCTACATTATATTTCGATGTCAGCAAACTGGTGGTATGCCATATGATCGCATTTATATCAGCAACATGATGGCAAAATGTCGGCACGATATCAAAATTTGCCGTCAATTTTCTGGTTTATGATGAAGACTTTGCTCCATATTCAGAACGCGCTTTTATCTCTGAAATTCTATAATATGCGTGACGTAAAGTAAAGGAAAGTCCCCTATTATGAGATAAGCCTAATATGAGATAGGCGCCTAATATGAGATAGGCGCCTAATATGAGAGAGAGATAGCAGCGTTTCTGCTAAACTAATAAACGCTATCTATTGGTTCCACTATGAATTTATTGCTTTTGGATTGAAAACTATTTAGTAAAAAGTTCATTATTAGATCATGCCTGTAGTTACTGTAAAACAAGATTTTAGAATTTGGATGTCTTCAAGTTTTATTGAGACGAGCATTTAAACCTTGTTTATTATTTAATAAATAAATATTTGGTAATAAAATCTTCATGTAGTGATAGAGTAAGGTCGTACTAATAGAAAAATACGGGATATGTTGAATTGTTTAATTATAGAAGTTAGATTTGATGATCGTAAAGCTATAAGGCGTGAAAATCGTAATATGAGATACCCAAGGTATTCCTAATATGAAATATTAGGAATGCTCCTATGTTATAGTAAAAATCGTTGCTAAAGTATAAATGTTATTGTACAATAATAAAAAAGACAACCGGAATGAACATCGAGTGCCTATATCTGCGATGCTTGATTCCAACTACCTGAAAACAAGTTCTAAGTATAATCTATTGTATGTTCATTTTTCGCGCACACTGGCTATGTTTGTTCGTATTTTAGAAACATTAAATAAAGTTTTTTAATTGCAATATTGATATACTTTCCGTTTTAAAAATATGTAATTTGTTAACTGTGCACTACAAATATCACAATTGACAATTTAAGTGGCTGTAAAATTTTGATCGAATTGACTTGGCAATCTGAAATTTTATGGAATTTTGGAAAGCTCTTGAAATAAGCTACAAGATTGTGCAATAAAAAAATGAGGGATTTTATTCAAAAAACTTCATGTAACCTTGACCTGACCTTAAGGACGTTTTCTTAAGGTCATCTAAGGTCATCATCTTCTTTCCCCATTGAAACCATAAAACTTTTGTCTGAAAGATTTTTTGAAAAAACTTCTCCCTTTAGAGATATTCAAGTGTATTGATTAAAATAGTCCACTCTGTATAGATCGGTTTGGTAGAGAGATATGGCTACCTTGCCGAGGAACATTACGTTACAACGGAAGATGGTTATAACTTAGTAATACATAGAATGTCAGGAAATCCTATATCTAAGAGTCAAAATACAAGAAAAGTTGTGTTCCTTAAAAATGGTCTGTTTGGTTCATCTGATATGTGGGTGTTTTCCGACAAAAGCCTTGGTGAGTAAATATCAATATATGCTACGTATTATTGAATATGTTAATCGGATTTAAAATTGTGTCATATTATTAGGCAACAATAAAATTTTGAACGAATTTCTTAACTTTTTATTTTTTTTGTTTATCTTAAATGAATTTTTTTACGACACATGGATCAAATTCTGTTCCTGTAACACTGCCCGACACTAATTTCGTCTTTGGCATGCAAAGTAATATCATTCCCGAAGTATTTTTTGATGTTGAAAATGATGTTGTAATCAGAATTTGCCTATCACGTCATATTTCCAAGAAAATTGAGATTATATAGGCAAAAAATGACGATTTTGACCATATTTAGAATAGTATTGCGGTTAAGGAAATTTTATTTTGCCTACACTATCTTAAAGTATTATCTTTTATCTTCAAAATTTTTTGGTTTATGTACAATTTTTTATGACCAATTAAGGGATTCGAAATTATTACCATCTAACGCTTACTTGAAGTTGGGATCCGCGATGTAACAGAATAATAAAAATAAAACAAGAATAAAAAATAAAAAAGAAATAAAAAATAATTAAAAAATTAAATAAAAAAGAATATATAAAAATGGAGTGTAACAAAAATCGCCTCCACAGTGCACTCTGGAAATACATATTGTAGCTGAATGATTTTCCAGCAACTGTCATGCTAACCTCGGAATGTCAAGTCTAAGGAACACAAATCAAGATATGACACTTACTAGCTATATACAGAGTGGTCCACTTAAATCGATCATCTCGAATATTTCACTTATTTTTAATGATATAAAGAAATTTCAAATGAAAGTGGAACGGTTTCGAGGGGGACATATTTTGGTCAAGTTGTTTTTTTTTCTAGGTGGAGGCATCAAAAACATATGAAGGTCACCTCCACTTTTTTAAATGGAATTACGTGATTTTTTTCGATAATATGATTCCTCTAATTATTCTGCATATAAAAATATTAATGTAGAGATATTAAAAAACCAATAGTTCACGAGACATTTTACACTTTATTCTAACACATGGAACATAAAATATTCCCCTCGAAACCGTTCCACTTTCATTTGAAACATTTTTTTATATCATCAAAAATAAGCGAAACATTCAAGATGTTCGATTTAAGTGGACCACTCTGTATACGGCATATTATACACTGAAAAAAAAGATTGGCTGTTGCAGCAAATTAGATGGCAAAATATGGCATAGCATTTTTAATTGGCTGAAACAGCCAATTTTTGGTTGTTGCAGCAAATTTTTGGTTGTGTTAGCCTATCCGCAATGTCAGTATAGGATTCCGATTACCTAATGCAACCAAAAATTGGCAGCTGCAGCCAATTAAAAATGCTATGCCATATTTTATCATCTAATTTACTGCAGCAGTCAATCTTTTCTTTCAGTATACAATTATACATGATCAAGAGGCACTGTAGTGTCTAGCACCAAGTAAACGCACAAAGCGACGTACGCCTAACTTCAAACCTACGTAACTTGATTTAAAGAGATTATGCTGTCTTTTATCTTTAAAATGAGTTTTTTTTTGTTTCTATACATTTTTTTATAGGTTTGTTTTCTGTTCCTGCACTGGGACTGCACTAGAACTGAACTGAACCGAACTAGTGCAAGCCAGAACTGACGAGTGTAAGCGTGCAGGTAAGGAATAGAAAACGTTCTAGTGTAAGATAAAAATGGCGTCCCATGTTCCCATAATCCCAATAGTACAATTCTCTTCCTTTCGATACGAGAATCAAGTGTAAAACGGTAAGTAATGGACAAGACTATTCTTGACCTAAAAGACAATTGCCACCATTTGCTATGCGTCATTTACGCGAGATCTGTTTTCTGTAGCTGAACTAGTGCACACCGGTGCTTGCACTGCTTATACTGCCTCAAGACCTAGTGCAGCCAGTTCGGTGAACTCGTGCACTGAGTTCTGTTGCACTGGAACAGGAAACACTGTCGCTGACGCCATTTTGGGTACAGAAAACGCTTTAGTGTACACTTTTTGAACTAGTGCAACCAGTGCAGGAACAGAAAACAAACCTATAATGTAAACAAAATTGGCAAAATAAAATTTTTTTAATCGCAATACCATTTTAAATATGACCAAAATCGTCATTTTTCGATTATATAATTCCAATTCTCTCGAAAATGTGACATGGTAAAATTTTTCCGAACACGGATTCAAATTCAAGGGCCCAAAATCTTCGAGAAATGACACTTCACATGCTAAATATAAAAAAAATCAAATTACTACAAGTTAATTCAATAATATTTGATAAATAAAAAAACTAATTATTATCATTACTTTCTGTTCTAGCGTTTTTATTAGCTGATGAAGGATATGATGTATGGCTCGGAAATTCTAGGGGAAATACTTATTGCAGATCGCATGTAAAACTATCTCCACGAAACAAGGACTTTTGGAAATTTAGGTAAAATCTTATTTTTCACAAGTATCTCATTTTAAAATAATATTTTTTGTTGATTTCGACTTTTTTTTTTGTTAAAATTATTTTAATTAGTTTTATAATTACTTTATATATCTTAATTTTTTTCTTTTATTTTATTTAATTCAAGATAAGTATCTCTTTTTATTTTATTTTATTTAATAGATACCGTTTAAATATATTTTCTAATTAAAAACGATTTTTCCATTAAAAAAAATACCTTAATAAAGACTCGTAATACTTGTGTGCAGATATATTATATAATAATATATGATTCGATATTCTCGTTAAGAAAAAAAATCATTATTGAATTAAAAAATTTGTAACAAATATTCGGTGGTTTTGCAGCATTATAATAGTAGTAAAAGAGAAAATAAATTTTACTTGTACACTGTCTAGCTATCACGAGATAGGAACGAGGGATCTGCCAGCTATGATTGATTATGTACTTAATTACACAAATCAAAAAACTCTGCATTATATCGGTCTCTCGATGGCAAATACTGAATTATTCGCCTTATTATCCATAAGACCCGAATACAACGCAAAAATAAAATTGGGAATTTGCTTTGCTCCAATCGCTATTTGGAAAGAAATACCTCTTCTATTGGAATATATTTTCTACTGGAATAATATGATACTAAACTTCAAGGTAAAAAAGTAATAATATCATAACAAATTTACATTTTTAAAAAAAGATAAATTTGTTATGATATCACATATTTTGTAGTATATATGAACGAGAGATATCGCGATGAGACATCGCGCGATGACCGCACTATCCGTGTAGACAATCCCAATGATCTACCAGAAAACCGATAAAGAATTGAATATCCCCGTGAGTGTGTCCTCATCTGATTCCCTGGCTTATGAATCTTCTCAGTGTCATCTTTCGTCCTTGCGACATAGCCCAATCAATAGACGATACTTATACATAAAAGATAACTATCAGAATGTAAATCAATCTGTTTTTATGATAGAATTGGTCAGTTTCAAAGTAAATAGCTACTACTAAATGTATATGCATCTAATAAATAATAAATTAAATTTGAATCAAAATTAAAAAATAAATTTAACAACTTACGTTGTTAGAAATGTTTCCTTTACATGTAAATAAAACTCGTGATTATGAACGAAATTAAAAGTAATGAATGATTTAATTGAAAATTAAGTCACAGTATTAGTTATTTAAATTAATGAACGTGTACATTAAATTTCATAAATTTTTATTAAAAGAATACATTAAATTTCATGTACATACATGTACACAAATATACTTTTTAGTTATAAATACATTAAATTTAATGTAATGTCATGAAATTAAGTTCAAATTGTGTAACTTAAAAGTATATTAAATTTCATGAAATTTTTAACAGTGTAGATACTTATAGTTCCTTGACAGCGAACATCTAGACACTCACTTCCTCGACAGCGAATACCTATAGACACCAACTTCCTCGACGGTGAACACCTAGACACCCACTATGGCTTTTGAAACATGTTATTATATGTAACAGCTACATTATTAATATTGTTGAATAAGAAATTAAGGTAATTCGGGGGAAGATGCCACAAGGGGGAAGATGGCCATTTTATTTATACTTTTTTTAGAACGCGCGTTGACTATACTGACTGTGCAAAAGCGTGTGGCAAACAGTTGCGCAGTTATCGGCTTAAATAAACATGTTCATGCCAATGTCGATTGAAAAAGATTATTACGAAATACGAAAAGGGGTAGGTCGTGAAACATGCTCTTTATAATATTTCGTATGCTAATAGCTAAGGTCTGTATTTTAATGCTTACTGTAAAACCGGGCAAATGATATACGGTTTTAATCAGTGTTGCCTGGCGGTTATGTGGATGATATAGATCATAATTTGTAATATTCTTATATGCGTAAAAGTTGCAATTGAATATACCTTTTACACTTGGGGACAAGATGACAGTAAATACAAAACACAATTTTTTCTACTTGAAATCGTCATTAAACGATTTTATGAATTAAAATTTTGGATGCTTTATATAATTTGAAATATTTTAAGTTAATAAAATGCTGTTTAAACTGTTAAATAAAAGTATGTCCGACTTACTTCCTAAATTAATCTCTTTTATATTTCCTCAATTTATGTTTTATCGTACTTTTACGTGTTTTTATAGCTTAAACTTTTGATTATGGACTGTAAATAAGTAAAATATGCAAGTTTATATTGCATCGCATTATTTAATTGTTTGTAACATCTTCTCTCATAGGAAGTGACATCTTATCCGTATATATAGAGAGAAGATGCCACTTTTGCAAGATATAATATATCAATTTTTTCCAATAATACGGAATATTAAACGTTAAATTTATAAATTTGTGTAAATAAAGAAAGGTCTCTAGACTATAAATAATATTTTTTCGTAACTTAATTCAATAACATTAAGAAGTTATTCAAGAATAAAGGTTTAAGTGTGGCGTCTTCCCCTCAATTATCTTATAATAAGAAATTAATTCTCGTTATTACAAATCTTACTAATTTCATTTATCCGCGAAATGCGACAAATTAATAATTACTTATCGACCTAATATTGATAAATTTATTATTAATTAATTATTATTCTGCGAATTATGCATGTTCTCTAGAAAAACTTGAATAATTTTCTGACATCATTTGAAAATGTTTGAAAGACGTCTAAAAGACATTTTTGTCTTTCAGACATGCGTGTTCTCTGGGATCCATTTCATTTCATTATCGATATACAATGCTAATGAAACTATAGGTAAATCAATAAATTGGAGTCGTAATGAACAAGTGCCATCTACCGTCAAAAATATGAAAAGGAGATTTTTTGAGGAGATGACGTATTTTATAAATAAAAATTTGACATTTCGGATTTCGCATGATTTCGCATCATGATATCTCCGTTCGTAGGACACATAGAGGTAAAATAAACACTTAATTATATAATTCGGACCCAAGCTGTCGATTGAGCTTATATTCAGAAGTCGATCGATCCAGCCTTTATTGAAAAACCGATAATCTCGGATGTTCACAACAGTCACAACTCGCTAACTCGCGTAAAAACACGAGGCGGTCTCGCTCTGCGCGTCCACTTGGCGCGAGTCAAGTGTCTCGCCACCGTTACATGTTTCTTGATCGAAATCGTATTTCAAGAGAAATAAAAATATATTTTACATATAAGTTTCGTATATTAATTCTAATAAGAAACTAATTTTTATTACCATGATAGTCTTATTACTATATTTATTACTAATATGATGATTAATGAATAATATTAATTGATTGAAAATAAATAATTGATTGAGTATAACGTTTTTTTTTTATTATGATATCATGTATACTTTATTCAAAACTTTTTACATATATGGTATTCTTGGTAAGATATTTATTGTAAATACCATACTCTAATTTTTTTATAATGAAAAAGAGTTTCAATTTAAACTGAAATGTTTAATAAAATGATCACTTTTATTATACAAATTATTTATTTCCTCTATACCCCTATTATACCTACATACATGTTTTGTGCTTTTTAATAATTGCGTATTAAATCCTATTGTGATATTATTTTGTTATTATTTGTATAATTTACATGGTAATACTTAATTACTTTAATATTATATTTTCTTCTTAATGTTATAATATAAGAAATTATAATATTAAGAAGAAAATATAATATTATATGTACCTTTTACGATTTTAAATTACAATCCTTTTATGTTTACGTGTTTTATATTTGCATTTATATTTGTTTATTAGAAAGTTCTTGATTCTAATGAAATATATGAAATAGCCTCTTTATCATCGACGACTATTATGGTGGGAAGGACACTGTGTGCAGATAAAACAATTATTCAGGATGTCTGTACTGTAATATTATCTCTAATAGGCGGATTCAGTCTAGCGCAACTTAACACTGTACATCTCCAAATTATTACAATTTTGCTAACTGTAACATTGCCACTGCTTTTCTTAAAGACTAAATCTTAAAAATAAAATTTTTATATTTTAATGTACAATAAATCAATTGTTTTTTATAAAATCATTCATTGCAGACGATGTTATCAGAAATCTTACCGATTTTTCCGGCCGGATCTTCAGTGCAATCACTACATCATTTTTACCAAAATATGATTGCAAGCAAGTGTTCCTTTTTTTCTTGAGAAATATAAGAAAATATAAACAATCTAATTATGTTAAAAAAGAAAGAAATATACTTTGAAACATATTTAAAATGTTGCTTTCAATATTATCAGTTTTTATGTTTTTTTCTTTTTTTAATTGTATCCTCATTAATAATATAATATATATCGATTTCGAATAATTCTTATCAGCACGTTGTTATAAGGATCGCGTAATATATCTTATGTTCACTTGAATAAAAATTAAAGTTTACAAATATCCTTTATAATTTTAATTCTATTTGTTGAAAATAATTAATATTGATTCTTGCAGAGAAATTTCAAGCCTATGATTATGGGTATTTCGACAATTACAAGCAATATAGACAAATAACTCCCATAATATATGACCTTAACAAAATTACTGCGCCTTTAACTATATATTACGGCGCTAACGATTTGCTTGCTACAAAAGCGGTAAGGTCACTTTTGATTTTTATATAAAAACATTTTTTGTTTAAAAAATATATATCGTAAAAAAAACTAAAATGTTCTGAATTATTTATACGCTACACATACATAGTATATTTATGACAAGAATTTTATCTGTTTCATGCAAGCTACGATTAAGTCGAATAAAAAGTAAAAAGTTTCTTTTTTTGCATGTAATTTAAGATTATCTTGAGTTTTTAAAAGATTGAGCCGTATAACTTTCTTTTTATGATATTGCACGAAATAATAATACGAATTAATATAAATAATTTTACATTTTATCCTCTTATCTCTCCTTCTTTTTCTTTAAGTCTCTCTTTTTATTCTCACTCCTCGCTTTCTTCACTCTAATTATTATATATATATACGTGGGTGGTTCAAGTCAAACCGGAACTTTTTTATTCTTATGTTCATGAGAATAAAAGTCCCAATTTGACATGAACCCTCCACGTATATATATAGAGAAATTACCTTTAAGAAATAATTGCTTTTATTTTTCAATTTATTATTATTAATTTTATTGTCATTTATGTTTTTAGAATGTCCTCGAGATATGTAAACACCTACCGAATGTCATCCTGCTAGAGGAAAATAAATTATTTAATCATTTCGATTATATATTGGCCGTTGATGTTAAAACTATGGTATATGATCACGTAATGGAACTACTTCAAGAATTTAATAATAAGATATAGACAGTCAATGATAAATTAATCTATGCCTACTACTTTCGTGTACCTACTATTTTATTTATTATACATTCATTTGATATAAAAAAAGGTACCCATCTTGATAGAAAAGTTACTATTAAATTGCTGGCTCTAAAAATTGCAAATTATCTTTTTTTAACAACAAAAGTATTTTTGATCATCATCATGATAGTGCTATTCCTGCCAAAAAGTTCTTTTTTAAGCTGTCAACATATAAACTAAGAAATGTATTTAATTAAAATGTAATATTAGATATTAGATATCGAATCATATTTTTGTACTCCTATTGTTAATATTTCAAAATTATGAAATATAACATACCTTCTGAATCGATTAATAAATTAATGCCTTTGTAAGCCATGCACTGGATCTCGGTGTGAAATATTTCCTTTATTTAATCTCTCATACAAACTCCAAAACTCCATACGTTTCGATCCTCGTTCGGATCCTTTTCAATGTCAGAAATTTACATTCGCGAAATCATTGTGTTTCCTGATACAATGAGTTTCACGGTAATGATAATGACATGTTAACAAACCGAGCGCTACAATTCATCTAACAAGTACGAAAACATGCATCGGTGAAAAAATTTATTATAAATTGCTAATATGTCTTTAAATGTAAGTAAATATTAGTAAATATTTTTTTAAATAAAAAATAACATAAATATTTCTATAATCCATTTGTTATTAAACTTTTTGTATTGTCTGACGTGTATTTGGCTCCTAAACACAAATCCAATTGATTTAATTTGACTAACATAATTTTGAAAAAAGTGGCGTGAAAAAGACATAAACAAAGATTTTGAGAATTTTTATGTTATAACATTGACATAATTTTTTTATAAATCTTATTAAAACTACGTGGAGGTATCAAATAAATCGTTATGCATAATTACATCGGGTGTTTCAGACTACCCGTACACCCAATTTAAAAACGAGGGAAGTGCTTATTTTGAAAAATATTTCAGACAAAAGTTGTTAGGAATCAAGTAATGCATTAAATGGGCATATACGATTGATCTTGGGTGACATCGTGAAAACCATGTCGAAGACGACTTGAATTTTTTAAATGGGAACCCATATCTTTCATTGCATATTCTTATAGCTGACGTTTTTGAAACACTGATACAAAAGCTCTTTTTAATTGAAATCTTCTTGAGTTATGAGACTTTAAAATTTTAGTACCGTCGGCGTAGCATTGCCCAAGATGTACCGCGTGGAGGACGCACGGTCGGATTTACACTCCTTCGGGATGCTTGATTAAGGATCCGACGATGAGACCTCCACGCGGTACATCTTGGGTAATGCTAACGCCGGCGGTAATGAAATTTTAAAATTTCATAACTCAGGAAGATCTCAACTAAAAATTGCACAGTAACAAATTTCGTGTTAAATTTAATACATTTCACATGTCCCAAACAGTTTAAATTTTTGTGTTAATTTAACATAAGATGAATATGTTAGAAAAAGTAACATAGATATTATGTAAAAAATTTTACATAAATTTTACAAAAAAAACATAAGAAGAGTAATATTTTAACACTATTTAAAAATAAATGTTATATTAAATTGGTATTTATAATGTTAAATTTAATTGAAATTAGATGCTGTTTTTACACAGTAAAAAAATTTGTGTATTTGTGTTAGAAATGGTTCATTCACGTTTATGTTAACAGTTTGTGTTAAATTTTTTAACATATTCGAGTATTAATTTAACATGATGTGATTATGTTATTTAAAAATTTTTTGTGAAATTGATATTCAATGTTTCTTATTGTCAAAATATCATAATTTATAAGTAAGTGAACAAGTAACAAAATAAAATTAATGTTTTAAAACGTAAATTCTAAGACAAAAGAATAAAATACGTCTTAATTTAACATATCATAAATGTTAATTTTCGTAAAAAAATATGCTTCCACGGTATATTTATAAATTCGATATTATCTTTTTGTATTCTTTTATATAATATTTGTGTAACCTTCGAACATATTTATTTTGTGTTAAATTAACTCAAAAATTTGAGTGGACCGTTTGGAACATACGATTTATGTTAAATTCAATACATTTTTTCCAACTATGTACATTATTTTTATGTTTTGCTTACTTACCTATAAATTGTACTATTTTAATATTGAGAAAATTTTTGTTAAAATTTTGTGTTAAATTTTAATTTAACACAAAATATTCAGATAACACAATCACATTATGTTAAATTAATATTCAGGTATGTTAAAAATTCAACACAAAAATTTTAACAAAGATTCGTTTTAACATAAATACAAAATATTTTTCATTGTGTGTTCGTATACGTTTATGTATGCATATTTATACATGTTCTTATATAAAAAAATTTTACCGAAAAGTTCATACAAATTAAACTCACTTTTTTTAGATTCCTTCTTCTTCTTTTCTTTCTTCTTTTCTTCTTTCTTTCTCACTTCTCTCTCACTTTTTCAGCCCATATGATTATATAATGTTATTATATATAAATGAAAATAGAAGAAATTCAAGAAATAATTGCAAGATTGTTTCATTATTATCAAATCGACAATCAATTCATAATTATGATAATTCATATTATTATTTAAGTTTTAGTTTATAATTGTATTTCCAATCCTTAAGCGGCGTACAGTTTAAGTAATTGAAAGATGTATGTATAGAATTTTTATATAAGAATACTCGTATTATTAGATATCTTCATATTGGCCTTTCCCTTACCTTTATGATTATTCATATAGCGATCTCAATTAAATTATTATTGGTTAATAAATAATTGTTTTAAAAAATAATTGCTTATATTTCATTATTATCGCTAATTTTATCATCTTCTATATTTTGTTTTCAGAATGTATTGGAGACGTATAGCGTCTTGCCAACTGTTATCCTGCTAGAAGAAATTGCATATAAATTATTTTCCCATATAGATTTTCTAATTGCCCTTGATTTAAAATTCTAATGTACGATCATGTAATAGAACTATTTCAGAAGATTGATAATAATTAGTTGTGGACAATCCATGATAAATTAATCTATGTCTAATATTTTCTTGTTAAAAGTGTTTATTTATTGTACTTTCGGCTTATATAAAAAACACTTATCTTGGTTGAAAAATTAAATTATGGATCAAAAAGTATTGCAAATTATTCTTTTATGGCAAATATAAAAAAGAGGATTATTGTTTATCATGAGAATGTTATTCCTGCCAAAAGTTTTTTTTTTCTAACATAAGATTGATAATAGATTACTAAAAATTGTATTTCACTAAAGTATAATATTAAACAAATACCGTAGAAAATTTCTTAATTCTTTGTATACATTTCTGATACATAATATATCGAGACTAAATTGTAAGTATTATTAATAAATGTTTGTACTTATATTGCGCTTTTAAATGTAATGTTATAAGTATTTATAAATATCTTTTAATATTTATGTACCGTAAATATCGGTAATCTATTTTCATTACAATAAACAAACACTTTTGTTTCAATTCTTATTTGTGATTAATTATTGGTAATTGAAAATTCCAAGATAATAACTGAATTTGTTTTATCATTAATAAAAATATTGTTTATACATTAATAATTAAAACTGATAACTTTTTTGTTATTTACAGCACTTACGTGTGTAATGACTTTAGTAAAACTTGCAGAATTTGGGAGATATGACCTGCAGCAGCAATCAAGCTACTTACAGCTTTGTTTTTTCAACATATCTACCTATACATACACAATTTGATGTATCATATATAAACAATAAATATTGTCTTTGTTTAAAGTTTATTTTTATTTTTATGGAATAATGTCATGGCAACTGATATGACACTTATAGTGACGATATTAACATAATAAAACAATCATTACTTCAACATTTCTAGATCGAATGACGTTATATATAATATGTACAATGTAACATACAACTACATTTTAAAAGTTATATTTTTGTCGATTGAAGCTAAAATCTCTTTATGCTAAACCAAACTGGCAGTACCGATGTTAATGACAACATTGTCAGCATTTCGCTCGTAAACCGTGAGATCATGTCTTCTTGGCTGTTCCAATAAGGCAGCAAGCTGTTCTCCACTTGTGAATGATCCAGTCGAAGGTGATAAGATCACGTCGCATTCTAGCTGACCTGTGCACAGAAAGAAAATAATATTTTATATAATATTCTATTTTTAACATATCAGTTCTTAACGATAAATCTAATTAATTTTAAGAATTTTGATAAAACAAAATATTAATCTAAGGAATCTCGATCGAAGTTCAGGTTCAATCAACAATCTGTTAAATAAATGTTTGGTAAATGTTTAATAGAGATACATCACTTATTACTTATCTACTCTAACGTTGTATCTTTTTATATTTACCTGACAATGAAGGCGATGCGCCTTTGCTGGAGCCATACATGCGGGTACTGTATCCAGAATCATTGTGAGTATCGTGCAGAGGCGGTGTTGGACTGTACACAGGATTACGTGATCTGTACGGCATTCTCGCAATACTGTCATAAGGCATATCTTTGGAGATACCCTTTCTACAATTCATCTCCTTATATGTTTTAGTTTGTTCAACATCGTCGTCTTCCCCTTCGCTGCTCTCGCTTTCGTTCTCTGCGACATTAATTGTCAATTAGAATTTACGCATTATACGTAAATTTAAAGGATTCTTAAAACAAAAGATAATTTACAGCAAATGTCATAAATCAATTTTTATGCTAAAACTTTAAATAATAGATGTATAAAGGCGCTCGTGTTAATGTAAAAACAATGACATATTATACAAAGTCAATGATCGAGCGCCTAAGATGGTTTAAATAATAGTTAATAAGGTGGTTAATATTTTTAGCCAAAGATGTATATGAGATGTTATAATAACAATTCCGAGACAGTATTTCAATAATCTCAGTCAATATTATTAAATTAACAAATTCGATTTGATTATTATATAAAATCGCTTCTTTTCAATCAATTTTATTCTT